TTCGTCATCGAAGGCATTGACTGAGGCACTGCTAGCAGCAGCTGCATTTGACACCTTTGCGGTGTTTGTCTCGTGGCGTTTCGGGCGTTAGGCAGCCAGAGCGCAACAGAGTGCTTGCTGCACAAGGGAGCGAATTCTTTACTGAATGGGATGGCCATATCCATGATGTATCTAGAGGCCGCAGCACTGCAGACGAATGGGGAGGTGCACGTGGGTACTACGCTATGCGGTAGTAAGTTGACAACATTACGTTTGATTTCGTGAAGCCGCACTGCATTCATTTCACCACTTTCATCTCGACGGAGACACTTAATACGACGCCTGTTCACGCACGGGATGATGGCATGGCCTTGCATTTTGCCTTTCGGCGCAAGGCACGCACGTGCCTTGAATTGAAGCTGGACACCATTGCTGTTGGCGTCTGTATCTATCAAGAGGAGACGAGGGGACGTTTGCGCAAATCTGAAGGCACGCGTCTGCGTAGGTGGAAGGCAGTAGGCTCCCACGTTTGCCAGCGTCGTCTGCCATAGGCGAGATCCTGGAGGTGCGCTTTTGCAAAGGTTACAGCTAGTCCAGGTGTAAGCTTTGGGGCGGAACTTTGGGGCGGAACTATCTACGTGGATGCTAGTAGAACGTTTGGGGCTACGGGGAGTTTTACATGAGGTGCATGATGCTTCTGAGCTCGCCGAACAGTTGGTAAGTCTTTTACCAAACCACTGGGGGACGAAGTAGTCAGAGACACATTATTGGGAAAGAACCAACCCACCAGGCACGTTGACAAGCATTCGTTCTGCGTGCTGTTGTGGAGATCCGGCTCAGCAGTGGTATCTAACGTCAGCGGATTGAGGGAGCTGAAATGAAGGTTTGTCTCCCACGGTGGCATTGGTAGCTTGCAAGAGGAAGAAATGCGTCGAGCTTGCGAGATTTGAGCGTGAGACGAAGTGGGGAATTTAGTTGCTTTGATCGGACTGCTGGCAACACGGCACAACAAGTGCGTTGCGCCCAAAGCCCACGCGAAGCTGGCAGGGGCGGACCTGCTCCTTTGCAGGGTGCCGGCGTATCTGTGAGGAAAAAAACAGGTTTTCCATCAGTGAACAGGCTCAGCGAAAGGGGCGCAGTGCACGTGTGGAGAGCCTTTGTGAATGCAGTGGCTGGCAGTGCGCATGACGGTTCAAGGGTTGCAAGCCCTTAAAAATAAGAGAAGGGAATCTTGCGGTGGGCCACTGCTTGAGGTGATCGTTGTGCTTCGCTCCTAGTGTGCAAAACCTCGCACGTGGCATTGGGCGCTACTGAGGGCGTTACAGGGCATTGGGCACCCTCGGGGTGGCTAGCCGGAGGAATAGGCGGAAGGTGGCATCTGCTGTGCTTCATACATGGTGACATGCCTCTGTGATGTGGTGCTTGAGTTCGTTGGTCAGCGCGTCGGGTGCATGAGAGGCGCTGAGAGACTATATATAAACAACTGTGGACAGGAGAGTTGGTGCTCACACCACATTAGCAATGGCGTGTTGTGTATGGCGTTGGACGCAACCCTCTTTAGCTGTATCGAGGACCCGTCCATCTCGACATCTAATACTGCATCGCTACAGACGACAGACATTGGTTGGGCATTGTCCTGAGATATGGTTTGATGTGTGGAAGCGTTCTCTCTTGCTCCCCCTACATGCTGTTTCGGTAAGTGGTGTCTGAGGCAACGCTTGGTTTTAGGCGCAGGTGGGGGTACACGTTCGGCTGTAGATATGCTGACCGGCAGAGGAGGTTGCACGGGAAGCATTTAACCGTCGTCGGTTTGCTGTTCTGCACTTGAGTGGAAGCCGGGGTCTCTTCCTAAAGTTTGGTCAGCATGGCCTATGGTCAGCAGACATCAAGAAGGTGTCCATAGTCTGGGTAACGGTAGGGGCGGTTCAGGATGGGGCTTTGTGTTTGCGCGTCTATGGTGCGGCGCGCTTGCATGGCATGGTTTGAACTGATCAGGGCGTGAGTTATTGCTGGGACGACTGTGGTGGGCGTTGTGAGGGCATGGGCATTGGTGAGTGGATTGCAGCTGTGGGATGTGGCGTTGGATGGAAGGAGCGGTGCGGTGAGAGCGTTCTGATAGGGCCCGCCTGCTGCGTTCAAGCATTGGTTGGGCATTGTATTGGGGTATTGGTTGATGTGTGGAGGCGTTCCGCCTGGTTCCCTATACTTGTTTATTCGGATTCACCCGTCTGATGGAATGCTTGGTTTCATGGGAAGGTGGGTTGTACAACCGCGGCTGCAAATATGGTGGCCGGAAGAGCCAATTGCGTATGATGCATATACAGACCGTTTTTTTGTTGGTTTGCACATTAGTAGAAGCAGGCGTGTCATCGTAAAGTTGGGTCAGCGTGGTGTATGCTCAGTAGCCATCAAGCAGGTGTCGAGAGTTTGGATAATGGTGGGTGTGCGGCAGGGTAGGGCTCTGTGCTTACGCGTCGATGGTGCGTCCTGTTTGTGTGGCATTGCTGGAATTGAGCAGACTGTGCGTGATTGCGGGGACGCTTGTGGAGGGCACTATGAGGACATGGGCATTGGTGAGTGGACTCCAGCGGGGGGGTGTAGCGTTGGATGGAAGGAGCGCTCCGGTGACAGCGTTCTGATAGCGCCCGCCTGCAACGCACAAGCATTGGTTGGGCATTGTATTGAGGTATTGGTTGATGTGTGGAAGGGGCATACCTGGTTACCTTTGCATGTTGTTTCGGTAAGTGGCGTCTGAGGCAATGCATGTTTTGTGGTCAGGTGGGTGTACAACGGCGGCTGAAGATATGTTGACCGGCAGGAGCAACTGGGTGCCAGGCATATGCGCGGCGTAGGTGTGTTGTTTTTTAGCTGACTGGAAGCGGGCATCTCATCATAATGCGATGTTAGCATGGCCGGTGGTCTGCAGAGATAAGGCAGGTGTTGATAGTTTGGAGAATGGTAGGGGGATTTAAAGAGGAGTCTTTGTCTTTACGCATTTATGGTGCGTCGTGTTTGTGTGGCATGGTTTGAATTGAGCAGGACGTGAGTATTGCTGAGACGATTGTGGAGAGCGTTGTGAAGTTGAGGGCATGAGTGAGTGGTTGGCAGCGGGGGGGATGTGGCGTTGGATGGAGGGAGCGGTGCGGAGAGAACGTTCTGACAGGGTCCGCCTGCAACGCACAAGCATTGGTTGGGCATTGTATTGAGGTATTGGTTGATGTGTGGA